ACAGACTGCTGCATAGTGCCCGAGTGCAAACGTTTTAACTTGCATGTTAAAATTGTTTAACTTGCATGTTAGAATTGATTTGCTAGATGCATACCTGTAACTCGTAACTCCTACTAGTATTGCTTAGTCATAGGTCAGTATGATTGTCATTTTCATACATAGAAAATTCCCATTGCATGGAAAAGTCCAATTAATTTGACTGGAGTTCATACCCAGAGAACGACCACCTGACTGAGCACACATCCAGGTAACAGCATCTACTTCAAATTCTGCCAAACTAGGAAATACTGCTGGCAGAATAAATAACTTGTCTAGAATTCCTTTATTTCATTGCAAACTCCAGACAATACTGTTTACGAAAGAAAAGCAAAGATTGATAGTCTGTAATGCCAAAGTGCAAATGGAAGGAGAAGAGTACTGTATACATGCAAAGCCACACTTCTTTGCAGATGAGATACACTAATGAATTTTTGAAAGAAACCAGCACAGTGTTAGGGAGCTGTGTGCACCAGAAGGCCAGCCTAGCCTTCCCCCATCCCCAGGCTGGTGCTCCAGGTCAGCTCTGAGAGGTGCACCTCTCTAAGCAGGCACCAGCGAGGCAGCCAAAAGCACTGAGAGACATCTCTCCCCATGTCGCTCATGAGGGGCACCAAGGCTCAGGCTGCTCACCAGATAGACTGCACTATGCAACCTGCCACACAAACAAGAGGGTACAGGGGATTAAACTAACATGCTGTCTTCTGCCCCTGAAGAGCTTTAGCCAGGGTCTGAAGATCTAAGTTAGGCTCGAAACTGGCATGCTCCCCTAGGCGGGATCTCAAAGCAAACCTCAGTCAGCCCTTTGAGACATGAATTGCTACCAGCTGCAGAAGCAGAAGATAAATGATGTATCCAAGATGTAAGGAAAAAGAGGGAAATCATGGCTGTGATTACTAGTCCCATTTTCTAAAATCCATGCAGATTTCTTATTGTTTTGAAGTCAAACATCAGCATTAGCATAGATAGTCTACATCATGCAACTTTTTTATTAATCCAATGCATTTATACAATAAGCACAGTCACCAAGCAAGGTCCATGAAAAGGTAGATTAATAAAATATTGTATTATTTCTAGGAAGATGCATAACACCCTGAAAACTCTGACTGATTGTGCTATGTAAGAAGCACAAGAAGAGGGAAAAAATAGCTTTCCTGACTCGTGTAGGTGCTTTGTAAAAATTTTAAACCCTTTAAAATAACAATTTGTGTTCTACTACAGGGAAAAAAACCCACACTTTTCTTTACATACCATTTTCTATCTAAGAAGCTTGTCATTTCAAATTCTCTCCGTGAAAGGGTATGTTTCTTGTGGTGGTGATGGTTTCTCACAGAACCAGTGAGTTCCAGCCTCAAACTATTGATTTTTTTACTTACAAAAAAGTCAAGATGTCACACTGAATTGATCTTGCATTCCTCTTTTGTTCTACCAAAATAAGTTTTGAGTTCCAGATAACAGAGCTAGTGTCACAGCTTCCCTACCTTTGTAATCTCCTTTAGCAAATTGAGTCTAAATAATACCAACCTGCTCTAAAATTATTAAATCTTAATATAAACAATCACCTTCATCTTATGTAGGATAAAACCTTCCTAGAGTTTATCCAGCTATTCCTTTCATTTGAGAGCAGCTACATTTGTTCACCAGCTTGCAACCAGGGCTGTGTCAAAGATGGTTACCAGAAAGAGGCTTTTGTCGTCATCCTCTTGAAGGCCTGTCACTATAGGCTTAAATAAAGCTTCATTTAGTCCTAGCTGTTGCAAGGTAGTTTAAGTCAGACCTAACTGCAAGATCTATAAAAGTGATATTACAACTGCCTATATGCTTTAACAATATATTTCTGCCCACCTGTTGTATCACATAGAGATTATTTGTTCAGGCTGCTTTGGAGTCTGCTCCCATGAAATCTTTTCTATTCCTCTCTTTCCTGATTAAACAAGGTGTCTTTTGCTAAGTAACTTTGAATGAGGTTCCGAGGCATGAAATGAACTATACTCAGGTGATAACTGCCGGTGCAAAGCCACAATACAGGCTTAAATCTGTTACTCTCCTCTGGAAAAAGCTGAAGTAGCAGGGGAAGATAAAGAGTTTCCATCTGTGAGAAGATTTTAGCACAGGAACTTTATCTTAGGGCAAGTGAAATACTGATAGACTAGGTTTGACATCCCTGATTGCCCACACAACCCTGAAGGTTTATGGCAACAGTTTTGAAATGGATGGCAGGACAGAGGTGAACTCAAATACCTATGCATATGATGCATAAAGGCAAAGGAAACCAGGTGCGTTATTTTATCAGAGTTATTGTGCGGTTCCTACAACCACTGAGTGAACGGGCTCAAATAGAGGGTTTGAAATAAAAGGTAATTTAGGCTAGGAAGATTCCACAGTCCAGAGAAGCAAATGCTTGTGCATTGACACACGGGAGTTTATCAAGGATGTACGAGGAACCGTAAAATAATGATGCAGAAATTCTAAGTTCAGTTGCTCCTATACATATTTGAGTGCTCTCCAGTATTAGGGGGAAAGAAAATAAAGGGAAGATTAAGAGCCAAGTAAGAGAAAATTCAGCACCAAGGTATCCACATGTTAACACAAAATAAAAGATTAGGAAAGAAGAACAGGTTAGGACAATGCTCTTAGTGTACCTGAGCAAGCACATACAAAGAAAATTTCACAGATAATAGGTAGAGAAAAGCACTAATTCCAGCCCCCCACCCCAAAAAAAAGCCCAAACCTGTAATGTGTAGTACTGTACACTCCTTCTAGTCTCAATAGGGTTCTAACATTTTTCTAAATGCTGCCAGCATCAGATGCAAGGTGAATAACAATGAAAACTAATTCTGAACTTCTCTTTTACTGGGTTTAAAACTTCTTCCTTGGGATTTTTTGCTGTGGGGAGGTGCGTTGGAGAAACACATCTATAAAATACATTCAAGTCAGCACCAAGAATATATGCAATCAAACCAAGAGGCAGGACATTTAGAACCAGTAGCGGACATGTGTATTCTGAAAGCATACACTTCAGCTCAGTTATACCTCGGAGCAATGAGTTCCACAACTTTGCCTTATTCAGGATAGCTATTGACCCTTGTATAGATACAAAAGACACATCCACAGTATATTAAACAGGAATTCATAGTCATTCAGAAGGATGAAGTTATTATGCTTTGGGATCATTTCTGATTAAAGAAACCAGGAGATATTATTTCCTGGCAGTTTGTTTTGGAGCCTCGGGGATATCCGGGAATTTTGCTTGCTGCTCTTCAGAAAAATTGTTATTCTCAGAGATTAACTCATGGAGTGGAAAGTCCATTAGTCTGACCCAGATGGCTATTACCGTATCTTTTGCATACATTTCTAGATTACTCCTGGTACAAAAAAAGTTAAAAAGGGTAGTAACTGCTACCTGGGAAGAGATATTTGGGTTAGCATTGATATATAGGTGGATATTTAGAGAAAACATGTATTTTATGAAAACACACAGTCATATTAAGGAAATTTTTGATCTGGAATTGGTTATCCCTTAGCACAGCTGGAAGTGTTAAGCTGTACTTGCAATTCACATTACAGACTGATGCCAGCACTTATACATCCAGCTATAATTTGCTCAGAACCTGAAAAAATGCTCAGTAAATTTACTTTGCAAAAGTTGGGCTCAAATACTGTGCTTCTGTCATTTGAAGGCCATGAGTTGGTATATGGAGGTTTTATAGGGAACCACAGGTGAGTCACAGGAAATCATAGCAAGAACAGGACCTCTTCACAAGGGCTGCCTTTGTTCTCTGCTCATAGTCTTTATAATGTGTCTCACAGTTTTTCACAAAACAGCCAAATCTCCAAATGAGATTATGTAAAGATTATCAGTTCCCAGTTTTGCTTTTCTTATGATGCCTGGCAGGGGAATGGTAGCAGTTTCTTCAAGCTTTTCCAAGCTAAGCCTTGAGGGGCTTGTTTACTAGCTCTCTGTGGCTCTGATTAAAATAAATTACAAATAATTGCCATGAACTCAAACAACGCACGAGAGAGCCCTAAATACTTGTTAAAAAAATTAAATGTTCTGGAAAATATTATAATGGCATGTTCATGCAAAACCACACAGCAATTTGGAAGGCAACATGGATATACTCATTCCATATTTAATGAAGTTTTGAAAGTAATGATACGATTTTCTCGCTACAATGTGGGATACAGGAACTTCACTGTTAGCCCATGAAGAGTCATCCTGAGACAGATATTCTTTTCCTAGATAAGATTCACTCCAAAATTTATTTTTAAGATGACGTTAAATGAAGGAGGAAGTACAGAGTAGGCACAGATATATAAATATATTCAATGAATTTGCTCTGTTTTGAAAATTGCAGAAGAGGGAGAAATACTTAATAAACAAGGTGGCTTTTGCAAGTCAGCATCTTATAAAATTATGTCCATACTTTTATACATGTAAATTTTCTCCATTCCCAAATAAAGCTAAGGTAAGTGTCATAATGATTAACAGCAAATCACCAGAGCTCTTTTTCTTCATTGTTTTAATCTTAATCTACAATGGTCACTTTATCATTTCACAGACACGAAAACTGAGGAAAAATCCCACTAGATCTGGCAATTTTTATATTTCCTTTCCATTTATGAGTGCAGTAAAAGGTATCTTAATCATTAAGCTGGAGAATACAACAGAACTGTCCTGCATTGTGAGCTTAAAGGTCACAGGCAGATGGAGGTGGGAGATATTTGAGGTGAACAAGTAAGAATTCAAATCACTGGAGACAGTATATCCTCAAGTGTCAGAACTAGGAATGAAGTTTAAATAGTGAGTCATGCCCACTGTTATCCTGATCCTGCAAAAAAAAAAAGACTGTGACCCTAAAGCTGTGAAAATCCAAAACAGCAAGTGTATGCTTTAGCCGTGAAAACAGATGAGGAACCAATAACTTGTCATATGTTTTTTTCAAATTTCTCCTTTAGAGAAAATGAATAGCCAATATATTCGTCATGAAGTACGGGGATGTGAAACTAGTGACCTGAGGAACTTCTGGGAAAAGACTATTGAACAACAAACTCGGTATCTGCAAATTGAAAAAGAACGTCAGCGAAGAAGTGCTCTGACAAAGTGGGTAGTCTGCATCTGGAAAGGTTATTTGAGTTTGTGTTGTAGTTCTTTTTTAAAGAAAAGTGATACCTATATTTAAGTCATGCAATGAAAGCAGAAAGTATTTTTCTCAGATTTTTAGAAAATAATAAATCTTCCCAAATCGGCATGTTAATACTAATGCGTCTAAGCTATGGCTTCACAGGGTAAGAGAATAATTTACTCTTGTTCCATAAATGGGTCCAAATTGTGGAACTTTCTGAAGTTATCTGGACAACATCTAGCACTGCAGGCTTGTCTTGAACATCAGGGCTTATGTCCACAGCAGAGCTAGCACAGACGTGTACCTAGCCCACCTTCTTTCTCCATGACCCTGTTTTCACAAGAATATAGTATGAATTAATTAAGATGACTTAATTTGCATAAGGTAAATCCATAATAAAGCTGGACGTCAAAGAGTACTAACTGACCAAGGCAACTGCCATCCATAGCCATATTTACCTCAATCAGTCATATTTACCTTATTTAGTCACAATGAGAAAGACCAGTCTACAGCAAGATTAGTACAGTTTTACTTCACAAGAAGTCTCCATAAGTTGAAGGCACATGCAAAGATGTCTATTTTGGCTTGAGATCATTCAATGAGAAAGCATTTTTTCAAAATCTTCCTTGCTCTCTTTGGATTGATGCTTGAAGAAGTAAGAGCAAGGATGGCCTTGCATTAATAACTCTGGATGAAGGAACACTGGAATTAGCCTCTAGCATATTTTATCCATGTAACTAACCTAATTTCAATGTCTCAGCTCCTGAGCTGTGAAACTCCTGTCTTTTCTATTTGAGGCAGTCTTTTTGCAGTACCTAGATACTACCCAAAAGAAAACAAAGTGCCACCTATCACCTAAAGCTCTCTGCTGTGGGTCTAACAGAAGTTTCAATATGCAGTGCTTCCAAGCCAAACAGCGCTCAGAAGCCTCCACGCAGTACTTTTTTTAACGCATTTCTGAGGAGGAGGATGGGGCCCGGGGCCATGCCGGGTGATGCCACCCAGCAGGCGGCAGCAGGCAACCCGCAGTGGGACCACAAGTCACTCCGGGGCAGGGGGGCGCTGGCAAGGGGGCACGCGGGAGGTGAAGGGGAACCACAAAGCTCCGGTCAGCTCTCATTGGGATTTAAGAGCTAATCCTGAAGTGCCACCCAGCAAAGCACTCTAAAGGGGCACGACAGTTTGCATGACAACTGGGAAAACACACCAAAGGATAGCACCAGTGGGAAACATGAACAGTATAAATCTCCTCCCTGTGGAAACATGGGGACAAGCTGATCCATGTTTCTGTCCTTAGGCTCAGAAATGAATGGATGGAGAGACTGGAAAAACGGATAAAGATGTTGAGGACCCAATCTGAAGATCCATCTAGCTGAAGATCCCACACTCATTACATGTTTGGAGGAAAAAGAAAATTCTTTTGTAGGAAAGCATGATGGTGTGATGCAAAAGCTTAAGTCAATTTTACTTTGTGGTTTAAATAAGCTATAATTAATTAGCTGTCACTGTTAGAAGCTTCATATGTGAAATGTCTATTGCTGCTTTTAAGACTATTTATCTGTCCCTTCATTTGATAAACAGAGATTAAAGGACTCTGTAGACTTCAAGACTAATAAATCATGGTTCACTGAGCTGCAGATACCTGGAAAAAAGTTAGTGCTCAGCAAAAGCATTTCCTCCATATTTTAGGTTTCTGCATAGACTGATCTAATCTAATGAAGTTATTTTCTTTCAAAATTGTTTAATGAATAGTTGAGAATTTTTGTTCGTTTGTTCTAACATAGCAGATCCCAAGTCAGACTAAGGAAGAGGGGACACGCACAAACGATACCACCACATCCCAGATCACTAGTGGAGCCAAACTTGGTGGGAGTTACAAATCCCAGCTGCCATATTAATAGTCTGTGAAGCTATTAATATGTATCCTGAGAAACAGGCTCTGTGAGACACCAACAAGAGTTGCTTAATTAGTTAACCCACATAAGCTAACTTAACACTATATACCAGCAAAGACAAAACATCTTGGGAGTTTTGAGACTGCTTCTGGTACTCAGCCTGACTTGTCTAGAGCTGGACTGATAGCTCTGTTTCACAGAGCAGCCTGATGCATTTTCACAGCTGTCTGTCATCATGAGTGAGGAGCACATTTTTTCCTCTAGCACTTTTTCTCTCTAAGACCCAGTATATTTTCCTCAACGACCAGTACTTTCAGAAACATGGCAGGTTTCCTCTCCCACATTTGCCATTAGTAAAAAATGTTTCTAGTTCATTCCCTAATTCTTCATTAGGAAACGTGGCATTTCCTCCAACAATACCAAAGCATTTCAATAGGTTGGTGTAATAAAATTGCTTCCTTTTCAAGGTGACTGCCTTGTCACGACCAGAATGCTTGGGGTAATGTACTGCAAAATGGGTTGTTTTGAGCATGCTAAAAATCTCTTCCCTCAATTGGTTAACCTTTTAGTCCCTTTTTACAAGACCTTTTCATTACTTCTCTGGTAATTCATATTGCTTCAGAGTAAAGAAGATTTGAATTGCCAGTGGGGTGAGAAGAGAACAGTGGAAGGGTTTGGGGTTTTAAAATATTTAGAACATCTGTTCTTTTTAAAGCAAAACAAAAATTTGAAATGGTATTTTTTCTCACTTTATCCATCACCTTTTGAAATCACTTTTGTGTGTTCCAAGGTCAAACCAAATCTGTGATGGGAATTTAAACATGTAAATAATGTTTGGGAAGCCTGAGAAATCCATGAAAGCACGGAAAAAAGATGACCTTGGAACATGTATTCAAAAATCAAGACATCAGCAGGGATGTCACCGAACTTGAGAGCAGTGTTTGCCTGCCAGCTGAAAAAGGCTGCTAAACTTGTGTTCTTCAGTTGAGCCTTTTGCTTAAGCAATTTTTAACATGACATCAACTGGGAATACGCAGGGTAACCGTATAATTACAATCTATCTATGCTTTAATAAACACTCACCACGTAGACACACAACTTAATATTGGGTTTTAGTAAAAATTAGATTTCTTTGAGAAAGTTCACACACTTCAATTCTCCCACCTGTGCCTTGTGTTTACTGAAGGTCTACCTGAACTCCCTTGTGAAACAGCATTGATTTTTATACCATTTTGGCTGAAATTAGAGCTTGAACTGAGCTAAGGGAAACATTTTGCATCCCCTCATTCACTGTGTAAGTGACTGTACAAAGCACAAAAGAGAGGGAATCAGAGTTGGCATATTTTAAAAATGAAAGGGGTATCCCTGGAATAAGCTTTTCTTTGCATCTCACATAGCTGAGATCTTTCTTATCATCTTCTCATAAAGTAAGTCAGAACAAGGAAAATCCATGGAGAGCCAGGAAAAGACGTGCCAGGAAGTGACTCCCATCTGAGTCCCTCGTGGCACGTCCATCTCATGTGGTTATGTCACTGAAGAATGCTTTGGAATAGGTGTCTACGATAAAAAGGAATTCTTTTTTTACAGACTGCATCTATTCCAGCTGAAGGCCAAGAGGAGTTCTGAAAACATATTTCCAGATTTAAGCCACTTTTCTCCTGAGCTTTGCAATTTCACCTTTAGTGTCTAGATGAATTATTTCAGGCTCAGGTTCCACAATATTAGATTCAGGACTTTGGGCCATGTAATCTTTATTTATCTAAGTGCTAGCAACATGTTTTGATACACACGCCACCACTTTTGCAGGGGTAATCTACCTAGGAATTTTGTAACTTACGACCAAGAAAAGAATACACATCCAGAGAAATAAATATAATCTAGAATCAATCAGCAAAAATAAAGAAGTGTGATAGCACTAAAATTCAAATCTAAATGCCAAGAAACAATCTTAATTAGAAACTGGAGCAGAATCCAAGATGAAAGTGGTTCCAGCAATTTGAAAACACAAAAATACAAATCTTTAGTTTACCTTAAAGATCATAAGAGAAATTAAAAGAAGGAAAAAAAAAAAAAAAGTGAACTGCAATTTCTGTAAGAGTCAGAAATTAGCCATAATGTTATAAAAAGGAATAGAGAAAAATATTAGAGATAAAATCAGCTGGGTTTTATAAAATCATTATGGTTAGAGAGGATACTTAGATGCTCTTCAGACTATTTTTCACCAATACGCAGTTTCAGAGGAGTGCAGTATTCAGTTAAACGTAATAATTCAAATGTTTATAAAATAGCTCCTTGAAGAAACACTTCATTTATCTTTATTTTTTCTATCCATATTTTCACATTGCTTTTGAGTGTAACAGCAAGAGATTTTGAGTTATGCCAATCTAATTTTATTAGCTTTGCAATTAAAATGTGGTAGACACTTGCTTATCTTCCTAGCTTTCATTATTTTACCATTCCTTTGCTTCATCCAGACACTAAGTAGCAAAAAAATGCAAGTTGCTTTCTCATTACAAATGCATGGTACAGAATTTTTTGAAAAAGCTTGTAAAAGTGACAAAAGTCAAATGTAGTTTTTTGATCCTCTGAAGCAACCACTAAACAATCTAAACCCAAGCCCTTTTAGATAGTATTTATGGGAAATATGCTGCATGTTAGCACAAGAGTGACAGATACTCCATTTGAGCCATATTAATGATTCTTCTAGCATATGGATAAGGGCTGACAGCTGTGAAGAATGATTCTGTCAGTAACCTAACAAACTTCTTAGCAGTTCAGGCCAAACTGAGACAGCTTAAAAACAGTTCTTTGCCCAGCAGTCCTTCCTGACCAATGTCCTTCCTCAGCCAAGGAGCTCCTCTCTGGAGCTCTCCAATTAAGGAGGAAACAAGCGTAACACAGCCACTGCAGCCAGGTTTTGAAACTGAACAACTGATGGAAGTCAGGCAAAAGGCAAGATGTCTTTCTGGTAAGATGGTAGTGACAAATCAGGGAGATGCCCAGCTGAAGCTCCCCAGCCCTGCCACAGCAGAGTTTCTGCAGTGAAGCCTCTCCTGTAGCCCACTGCAGGGTCACCCAGCAAACACGCAAAAGTCACGCGTCCCCCCCTGCGCAACCACTTCACGTCCATGCAGCTATGCCTCTTTGGCCTTCTGGCCACATTCACTGAAGAGGAGACTAATCTATTGGGCAATTCTGAGGTGCTTGAAGTTGTCAGCACTGAAATAAACCCACCATAAAATACCAAGTTTACCTACCATCCTCTGTGTTTAGTGTAGCATGAAGTACAGCTGAGTTATTTTGCACTGTAGAAAAGTCGACAGGCTACCTGCAAAATTTTGATCCCACGATACACAAGCAACATGAGAGAGAATCACAGCCACATGGATCTCACTGTGTATACAGGACAGAAACAGTGAAGGAGGAGTGGAAGGATGAGCCAGAGAGGGAGGTCAGGGAGGAGCCATGGTGCCTGCATTGGGTATGCAGTAAAGGTCCAATTGCTCCACACGGATAATATGATCCATGTACACAGTAGCCAGTGCTCCAGCTGGAACTGAAAAACATACAAAGTTTCTTCTAATAGGTCTGAAAAATAAAAACATCCTGAACCAATCCATGAAAGGTGCTATAGCTGAGGCAAAATACACCGCATGTTGAGGGAATCACTACTCATGTAAGTGGATTCTTACCATAAAAGTTGGAGGAAAATGAAGAGTCAAATGCCACTAGGATGCCAGATTCATTAAGAGAACTGGGAGTTCACTGAGTCTGGAGAAGCAGTATAGGTATCTTTGGGGAGGGAAGTTAAAGAAGATGAAGAAGAGGTAATGTCTTAAACCGAAAGAGTTTTGAAAAGATACAACTGAAGGCCTAACGTTGATTACCGGTTTTACTGTAGTTGCAGCTTAAACCCAGCTGGCAGCTAAGTACCGAGCAGCTGTGTGGGGACGAGAATAGGAAAAAGGTAAAACCCGTGGGTTGAGGTAAGAATAGTTTAATAATTGAAATACAATAATAATTATTATTAATATTACTATTATTGTAATTAAAAGGGAGATAGCAAAGAGAGAGGGAGAAATAAAACGCAAGAAAAACAAGTGATGCACAATACAATTGCTCACCACCCACTGACTGATGCCCAGCACAGCCCCAAGCAGCGATCAGCTCCTCCCAGGCAACTCCCCCAGTTTACATACTGCGCATGACACTCTATGGTATGGAATATCGCTTTGGCTAGTTCAGGTCAGCTGTCCTGGTTACGCTCCCTCCCAGCTTCTTGTGGACCTCCTCATTTGCAGAGCACAGGAAACTGAAAAGTCCTTCACTTAGAGTAAGCACGACCTAGCAACAACTAAAACATCAGTATGTTATCAACATTATTCTCATATTAAATCCAAAACCACAGCACTGTACCAGCTACTAGGAAGAAAATTCATTGTATCCCAACCAAAACCAGGATGACTGTTTTGCAGTCATCC